GGCAGGCCTCTCCTATCCTATGTTTCCAGAGTTTCAAGCTACAGTTGCTCCACCTCAATCCGACCAGGCGCAGTACGACAGGGCCTTTCCCAGTTCAGGCCCTACCTACCCAGACGCCCCCCTGTTGGCAGGCATCAGCAAACTCAACCTGAAACGGTTTTACCGCCAAGTTCCAGCTACAATCTTTCGCTGGTTGCCGCCTCCCGGCAATGCAAAATTCCCTCTGTAGCCGCGCCCCCTTGGCCCGGCCTACCTGTTTTGTTGAGCCCGCCTTCTCAGCCATTCCAAAATGGCATCGTTCGGAGCTCCACTCCCTTTGGGGAGGAGCTACCACGAGCAGGTCTCACCCCTCCGACGACTGCAGGCAAACTGCGAAGATCTGGGCGGGTCCGGCGCCACCCCGCCTACCTAGAGGACTACGCATCCTCCAATCAGGGGCATGTGCTCTAAGCCAGGGGGAAGGGGTGTTGAGGATTCAGAAAATCCTCCACTTACAACCGGGAGGCCAGCAACAGTCTAGAATGCGCCCTGATTGGCTGAGGCGCAGCATAGCCTGTTGCTAGCCAGCCGAGGCGACCTGATTGGCCAGGGTGCAGTTGCTAGATGCTCCTAGGCCTCCCATTGGTTCCCCTGTTTAAACTACTGCGTATAAATACCTTGGTGCGGAAATGTTACTTTTGAATTGCTGTCATCTTCTTGCTTGAATAAATCTGTTGTGTTGTGAAGTCCTGGCTCTCGCGTCGTCTCTACCTTCGATCGATTAAAAGATATACTTTGGGCACAATAGCAGAGAGATGTGGTCAGACGTACCCAGATGGGAGAGGGGGATTGCTCTATATGCCTGTCTTAAGTTTGAGTACATATGGTCTAGAGTATTCTTACCTCTGGTGGTACACTGCACATACTGCACAAACGTAGGGAGAACAGACTTTATACTGGCTTGATTAAAATCCCCAGACACGATAAAAGCGCCCTCAGGGTAAGTTTGCTGCTGCCTCTTGATGGCATTATCTAACTTAGAGAGCGCTGCGCTATTATTTGCATCAGGTGGAATATAGACAGCAGTGATAACTATAACAGAAATCTCACTAGGTAAATAAAATGGCCGACAAATGACAGTTAAGAATTCCACATCTGCAGAACAGTGAGTATAAGCAACTCTACTGTTAGTGCACCAGTTATTATGTGTGTAAATACAAAGCCCTCCACCTTTGCTTTTACCAGAGTTGCTGTTCCTGTCAAAGCGGTGTGTGGTGCCGTTAGTTAGCTCCACTGTTACATCCGGTACAAGTGGATGAAGCCCGGTCTCTGTGATGATCATCACACAGCAATCATGAATGAGCTTATTCGCTGCCATCCATACCTCTACTTCATCAGTTTTGTGGACAAAGGATCTAGAATTGGTTAGAAAAATGCTTGGTAATGCTGATCTGTGAGGCTGCTTCCATAACCGAACTAGCAAATGAGTTCTACATCCCTGCTTCTGTTTTCGCTCTCTTCGCTGCCTCCTAGGGCCAACAACAATCCATGGAGAGCCTAGCAGTCTTACTATGTCACTCAGTATATTATGAGACTGCTGGAAGTCGCTGGTAATAACTCCCTGCGGATATAGACTAGTTTTTGCCTAACTCTACTGTGGCACCAGGAGCTCAAAGCCGCAGCATCTAAGTGTGCTGCCATTGGGAGGGGGGGAACCCGATTCTTTTCTCTGTGACAGCTTTTTAAGTATTGAAAGAGACTATCATCACCCCTCAGTCTTCCCTTTGTTAAGCTAAACATACCTGGTTCCTTTTGCCATTCCTTATACAATTCAGCCTCCAAACCCTTATCTTCTTTGTTGCTGTTCTCTTTGCTGCTGTAATCTTTCTTGAGCCTGAGCATTTTTTTTTTGTATTTTGATTATAACTGGACACAATATTCCAAGCGTGGTTTCTAATTATTGCATACTAATAAGTTATAGGTACTATCTCTTTTCATGATTTTGGTGCGACCCCTCTTAATGCATCCTAGGACTTCATTGCTTATTTTGACAGCCGCATCACATTGCTGGCTCAAACTTAAATGGTGGCTGAAGAGGACATCTAGATACCTCTCATAGTAATTACCATTAAGTCAGGTACTGCCTACTCTGTATCTATGCATTTGGTTTTTCTTGTATAAGTGCAAGACCTTACTTTTTTTTAACTTTTTGAACAGCATCTTGTTGGATAAGGCCCAATGCTCAAGTCTCTCAAGATCCTTCTGAATCTTAAGTATATCTTCCAAAGTGTCAGCAATTACACCAATCAGCTTGGTGTTATTTGCAAATTTGATGATTTCCTCTTCTATCCCTTCATCTAAACCATTTATGAAGATGTTGAACACTGAGCCCAGGGTAGAACCTTGAAATATCTTATTGGATGCTTCCTTTTATGTAGGTATAGTTCCATTGAGGACCACATGCTGAGTGTGGTTGATCAGCCAACTGTATATCCATCTGGTAGTGGTACGGTTTATTCCGCATTGTTCTATTTTATCTAGAAGTAGGTTGTGGCTTATTTTTCAAATAACTTATGGAAATGTATACTATGTATACTATATTTATAGCATTTTCTTGCTCCACTAATTTAGCCATTTTATCAAAAAAGGCAAAATTTGTTTGAAATGACCTTCTTTTAACAAATCCATGCTGGTTTCCAGCGATTATGTTTTTTCACTGTGGTCTTTGGTTTTCAATACTTGTAAATCATTGCATTTTCAACTTATCAATATAATATAATATAATAAGCATAGTGCATAGTGCTGGTTTTTTTCTTCCAGTTTTCCCAGTTTCATCTTCTTCCAATCTAGCTTCCTTTAATATATATTCAGCATCTAGACTGAAATTAGATCCTAAGCATTCTTTTGCTAGCATGTGAAATTAAGGTCATTGTACAATATGTTAAGTTGCTGTTTATAGGTACAGGTAGTTCCTTACCTATAACTGAGCATAAAATTTTACATTGCTATGTAAGACAGTTGTTAGTTTTGTCCCACTTTATGACCTGTCTTGCCACAGTTTTAAGTGTATCGCACTGCAGTTATTAAAGTACTAACATTGTTCTTAAGTAAATCTGGCTTTCCCATTGACTTTGCTTGTCAGAAGGTTGCAAAAAGTGATTACATGGCCCTTGGACACTGCAGCCATCATACATGTCAGTTGCCAAGTGTCCAAATTTTGATCATGCATGTCCATGGGATGCTGCAACGTCATAAGTGTGAAAACAGTTATAAGTTACTTTTTTCAGTGCCATTATAACTTTGTTCACTAAACAAATGGTTGTAAGTTGAGGACTATCTGTATTGTAAGGTAGATTGACCCCTTCCAATCTGTTGGCCCCTCTAGTTTTCATAAGTATTTCATAAGATTTAATTGTAGAGATTTTGTTTTAAGACAAGTAAATTTTAATCGCCTTCTCCAATCAATGTACAGTTAAAAATCTCTTATCTTTTTGCACAAGCAAAAGGTATATGCCTTAAACAAACCTCCAAGCATCAATATAACTAGAATTATTATTTGTTTTAAATCTTTCTTGATATATTATAAAAAGAAAGATGTCCCAGTAATGAAATATCTAAATTGTAGCATTTAAGTTTCTGTGTGAATTACTGGAGCATAGTTTCATATTGTGATACAAGAAGGATCTTCTTATCCAAAAAGAAACTTAGTTTTCTTCAGTGGGTATAAAATCTGGGGTGAAGAATATCGGTTAGGATAATGGGTCAGAAATGTTTTGTAGGGAAAAAATTGAAGTTACAAGACAAAAACAAAAAACCAAAATGAACAACTTCAAATTCATCAATAGGTTTTTCAAATAGAAAGAAAAAAGTGACAACCACCATTCAAAGCAATGACTGACCTTCCAAAAGCTACCAGAACTTGCCACCTTTTTTGGAAGTTCTGATAGTCGCGCATGTATCACTGCAGTCACATAAATGCACTTTTGCACTTTGGCAACTGACTCATATTTAGAGCTGTTTTCAGCATCCCAACATCACATGATTACAATATTTGCAGTTTTTTGGTTTAGCATTTAATTCTGGTTTCTAGCAAAAAAAATCCCACCCATTTTTAAAATTGATTCCCTTAACAACCGCAGTGTTTTCTTAATGAACAGTATTTGCTTAATAACTGCCACAAAAAAGGTTGTAAAACCATGCAACTTTCAGATAGGCATATGTTACACTTTCAAATAATTCTGCTGAGAAAGTGTGATCTTGAAGAATATGAGATTATAAACATGATCTACACATAAAAAAATAAAAGTTCACAGTTAGATTTGTGTGTGTGTGTAGGTGTAAAGTTGTCATGTTACTATTTGATAAGACTATAGAGTTTCTGCAGTAAAAAGGAAAGTTTTTCTAAAGACTACCTACCCACCTATCTATTATCATCATCTATAGTATGTCTCTAGAAATATATATATATATTAATATATAATATATAATATATAATATATATATATATAATTATAATTATAATTTTTATAATAATAAATATAATAATTATATTATATAATTATAATTATATAATTATCTGTGTGTGTGTGCGCGCATTGGAAGATGAATTGGGTTTTATATGTCTGAAGATGATAACATACTATAGTGAAGGTGATTTAATCTGTATTTACTAGTAAATATTTTGGCTTTCTGAAAGAAATTGCTTTTCAGAATTACCAAATAGAGGAGTAGTTCTGTTAGCTAAAAACTACTTTGAGTAAGATGTTGTTACTTTAAACTATTCATCTTGACAATTTTTGATGGATTTATATATAACTATAGGCCTTTTCAAAGAAGAAGGAAAAAAAGGAAAGGAAAAAGGAAAGTTGTTCTGAGCTGAGTTGGACTAAGAGAGAATGGACCAAGATCACTAAACTGGTTTGCATGGTGAAGGCAAGACTTGAAGACAGCAATGAATTAGGCAATATGATTCCAAACAATGAAAGCTTCATTGTTCACTTTTTTTCCTGTGTTTTCTTTAGGAAATGTTCAACTTTCACATACTTATAAAGAAGACACTATAGAAGAAACCAACTCTTTCAGCAGTTGTCCAAAATGTAATAAAACTACTAATTTATTCCCTGTTATTGTATCACGGGCTTTTCAAAATGATGGCATAAATTCAAGAAACAAATCTATTGTTGAGAAGACCTCGGCTGAAATACATCCCATATTGTTTGCAAAAGGATGTTCTGTAAATAATGCTTCCTTTAAAAATGATAAATCTGAGAATATTAAACAAAGGTAAGTTACATTTTTGAGATGATGTGCAAGTTCATTATTTTGGCATAGCTGGCTGCAGAGAAACAAGTAGTTTATAAATTTTGTCAGGGGCCTAAACATACAATTAACAACATCCAGACTTTACTGCAGCTAGTTCTTTTGCAAAAAAGGCTTGGTTGTCTTAAAGAGCAGACTTGCAGAATTTTGCTTTGTGTTCCACTCCCTTTGTTGAGTTTCTGATCCAAATAAGAAACCCAACTCTGTGTCTCATCCTCTGACTCCTCCCCATCCTCTCACTTAGTATATGATAGCAATTAATAATGGTTCTTTCTGCTCATAGAGTCTAGACTATGCTCCAACCTTAAACAAATTAGAGGAATTCAGGGCAGATTGTTTTACTTGCTTGAGTTGGGGCAAACAGGTCTAATCTGTTATCAAGAGAAATATAATTGTTAATGTTTTAATATTTTTATTGTTACATGTAATTTTAAAGCAATTTGGTTCTGTGGGATTTAATTAAAATATAGGCCATCAATTCAGTGTTGAATCTTAGTCACCACATAAATAGACTTTCTCCAGCATGGTATATCCCCAACCTTCAGGTCTACTAATGGTATATACTTTAATTGAGATCATCCACCTTGCATCTTATTGTCCTCTTCTTTTCTTTCCTTCCATTTTTCCTAGAATTGTAACCTACATCAGAGAGCTAAGTCTTCTCATAATGTATACGTAACTTGTTAATTTGAGTCTGGTCATTTGTACCTTTTATGAAAACTCTGAATTGATTTGTTTGATGATCTGTTTATTTTCTTGGATATCCATGGTATTCTCAAGAGTTTTCTCCAACATCGAAAGCATCACTGTTCTTTCTGTCCTATTCTTTGCTTCTGCAGAGTCCAGTTTTCACTTCCAAAAAGTGTTACAGGGAAAATCATTGCCTACATGATTCTGATCTTTACAGGTATACATGTCGTGTCTTCCAATGCTAGATTATCAAGTTGACTGCTGATTCTTTTACTGTTGAAAGTTGATCCTATAAGGCTGAAGCTATCCAACATTTCAGTACTTTCATTGACAGTTTTAAGGCTTGTTACTATATCTACTACTGTTTTGATCTTTAATTCCACTTTCTTTCTTTCTTACTGTGTTCCTTGACTTACAAGAGCTTGTAGATCATTTGCATTCTCAGTTGTCAGAATAGTGTCATAAGTATAGCTCAGGTTTCTTCCCCCAGTTTTAAAATCACACAATCCAGCCTCCCTTAATATATATTCAATGCATAATCTGAGTAATTAGGAACTGTATACATCCTTGTTTCACTCCTGCCAATCTGGAGTCATTCCAGACTCTGGCTTCCTATTCTGTATATATAGGATTTGTATGAGGACAGTGAAACATTCTGGATTCTTATTTTCCTGAGGACATTCCATAATTTGACATGGTTGAATAGTTGAAGGCCTTTCTATAATCAGTACAATGCATATTGACTTATTTTGACTTACTTTGACTTTCTTGTTCCTTGGCCCAAGTCACTGCTTCACCCAAATTATAGTATTAGTATGATTAGCCCTGCTAGAAATCAGCAATTAACCAAATGTCTTCATAATACAGGGCTGATGGCAGAATGATGGAAACCAAAATTGAGAATACTGATAAGTTTATGGTTGCTGGTGTGCAAAAGGTTCAACTTGCACGAGACAAAAGCCTGGCAGGTAGGTGGAAATTGATCTGCAAACATAATAGAAAGGAGGAGGAAATAATAGTAGAGAATGTACCAGAAAGGTTTAAAAGATTTTTGTAAATCTCCAAATTGGAGAAAGTAGTAATGGTAATATAATCGCCTATCATAACCTAGTAGCTTCATTGAATATTATGCCAATAAAATTAGACTTATTTTTCCCTCTTTAGTCATAAGTCTCTTATTATAGTTACATTCAATGATGTGTTGAACCTTGCTCACTCCAGCTTTATAGTTAAATTTCTGGGAACTTTAAGAACAAAGGTGAATCGTAATGGCTAATATGCTGGTCCTTTGTTCCATGGCTAAGGGCTAGGCACAGTACCAGCAATGAAGCCAACAGAGCCAGTTCTTAAAAATAGTATGCCATATTACAAAAAAAAAGTATATCACTGATTATTATATTTATGAGAGCAAGAGAATGAATTTCTAAAAAGTATTATTTACATGCATTGTTAGAAGACTGAGTATTCCATCACAGAAGGAAGGAATTTTTTTTAGAAAATTCTATTGTCTATGTGGTATTCAGCTAAATTATTGAAGATAGATAGATAGATAGATAGATAGATAGATAGATAGATAGATAGATAGATAGATAGATAGATAGGCTGGCCGGCAGGCAGGCAGGCAGGCAGGCACATCAGAGGTGTGTTGCTGCCGGTTTGGCCCGAATTGTAATAGCGGTAGTAGTGGCAGCGGGAGGCTCCACCCACCTGCCCAGACGCTTATGTGCATGCGCAGAAGCGGTGCATGGGAGCACATCCTAACCAGTAGTAAAAAAAATTAGCAACCCACCTCTGATGCACACATGTACACATATGTAGCTTTGATGCACATATGTACACATAGTAGCTTTTGATTATAAAATTTTGCAAAATGTTGCCATTTCATTGTAAATAGTTTTTGAAATAATTTGTTGACAATATTTGCAGTGACGGAAAATATACGTAATGATCCTAAAAGCCAATCGGTTGTCTTTGAGATGAAAGGTGCATCCAGCCCACTGCCACAAAAAGCTGAGAATCCTTCTGATGTTTCATTTCCTGTGCCAGTGACAATTATTGATGAATTTCCAGAAAATAATACCATTACTCATTCCAATAAAGAAGAAGAAAAAGATTTGTTTTCTACGATAGAAACTAGTGAAAATACTCCAGTTAAATTGACTGATCTAGTTAAATTTTTTGACACAAATAAAAATATTGAAACTGTAAGTAAGAAATGTGTAGGAACATCTTCCTATTCACCTAAGAATTTGTCACAAAAATTTTCAACAGGAAATATTTATGAAAATGTCATTGATGAACTTAATAAATCTCATCCAAAATTGAAAGCATTATCAGCAAAAAACTCTGATGAAGAAGAATCTGACCCAACACAATTTCCATGGCGACGTAGTAGTAATAATAGAAGTAAAATCTATCGTTCTAAAACTGGCTTGACAACTTTTACAGTAGTTCCTCCCAAACCCAAAATGAGAGATGTTAATAGAAATCAGTCTCCTTATACTGGTGCCATTAAAATAGACGAGTTAGGTAACCTAGTGAAACCTAATGATGGTCATGCTAGAAAAATTATAGTAGATGCATCCTCCAAAGTAAATGTTTTTGGCGGAGATAAAGAATGCAAGAGGTCAAATACTACGGAAAAGCAAACTGAAGGATTACCGTTAGACCATTCTATTGAAACAGAGATCACCATTAATTCAAAACAACCTAATAAAATGTCCATAACTGAACCTGATTGTATTAGGAAAACAACTTGGCCAATAGTTGGTTCCCATTCTGAAAATATTGTTGGACCAGTTGAAACAAAAGTCCCTAGTAATACCTCCCAGTTTTCAGGAAAAACTGTCTTAGCATCTGTGATAAGCAGGAAAGATTTCGTGCTTCAGATGCCCCCCAAACAATCATCAAAGGACTATTTAACCACAACTGTTGCCAATTCCAATGATCTAACCCAGTTTGAAACCATTCAAGGAAAGCATTATGAAGAACTAAATAAAACTGAAGGAAAAAAAACTGAAATGGAGCCATTTTCTAAAGGATGTACTGTTGCGGCCAAATACTGCCCAATGGAAACAGAGCCAGGAAAAACCCAAAAACTGTATTCAAGTACCTTCAGTAAAAATGTGTCAAATACCACTCCATCTTGTGCTGATCCTAGGGTATCAAATATCAAGACACAAAAACAAAACAAATCTACTAACAGCATTAGTGGGACATCTACTATAATAACATCTAACAAAAACAGTATCTCGGAACAGGAACTCATTCATGATTTAGTACAAGATGTAACCGATAGAGAAATTACTTTTGCAGTAATAAAAAAGCCATCTGATCAGGTTAGCTCTCCCTTTTTTCTTAGCAAACCTAATGCTGATTCATCTGCCACAATATTTAGCTCCCATATGAAATCAAGCAATTTACCATCAGCAACAATAGTTAACCAAACAACTTTAGAAAAAGATGAGAATCTTGGCAAGGCAGAAAGTAAACTCTGTTCTAATAGAATAGAGGACAGCATCTACAATATTTTTGGGCCAAAGAAGAAGTTTAAATCAGTTATCCAGAAGCCACTTCCAAAAAATACGTCAGCACATAGTGCTTTAATGGAAGCTATTAAAAACTCAGCAGGAAAAGACAAGCTCCGAAAGGTAAATATTTATTGGGTAAAAGCAGCTTTGGATGAAGCACCATTTCCTATAAGATCAGAAGTGGGCTTGTTTGTTGCTGTTTTTATCAAAGTTATAATTATTTTTTATAACAATCATTATTTCCAGTGACCTATTAAGCTACTATAACACTATAAAACTTGCATATTACCAAGATACAGTAGTAGATTACCATCAGTTCTATACATGCTATTTGGTACTATGCAACAGCCATAACAGCTTAATATATGTAACATTTGCTGCTATGACTATAGATAGTGTAACAGACTAATCCTGTCCTAAAGAGGTGATAATTGTCATGCAATGTATATAAATATATATATATATATGAATGAATATATACTAATATATATAACTATTAAATTTATAGTTTTATAGTAATAGAATAGAACAGAACAGAATTCTTTATTGGCCAAGTGTGATTAGACACAAGGAATTTGTCTTTGGTGCATATGCTCTCAGTTTACATAAAGAAAAAATAAAATATATTCATCAAGAGTCATAAGATACAATACTTAGTGATAGTCATAGGATACTAAAAAGCAATAAAACATACTAAGAAACAAAAAGTATTTTATTATAGTATTTTGCATATTATATTATAGTATTTTGCAAAGCTGCTTTTATACATATATCAGTATATTCAGGTCAGATAAAGGCCAAAATTAGGTGAGTCAAAAAAATAATCAGATATTACTCATGTTTCCAAATTTTAAGTTTAAAAAAATAAATATATATGTTTTATTATATGTCAGATTTCACACAGTACTGTAAGTGGAAGTCCGAAAGAGTCAAAGTTCATGGAAACAGAGGCTGAGCGTTCAGCTCTTTTGGCATCTATTAGAGGGCACAGTGGAGTCTCAGTATTAAGAAAGGTAATTCTAATTGCACTGCTATATTTGTAATTTAACAAGATGTAATTAAAAATCCATTCTAATTTGAAATCCTAACTCTGGTCTTAAACATTTGCTTTAAAATTATCCAAGGAAGGTTGAAGGGATCTCCAACTAACATTCTGGTAAATCTGTCGGGTCAAAGCAGAAGGTACTAAATGACTAAAGATTGTCCTCATCTAGCAAAAATAGTTTGTTCACTTTTAAATCTGCAAATAGAATCAACAAAATATTTAAACTATTGCAACATAGCAGTTGTAGTAAATTTTAATGCATCTCACTTCACTTTCATTGGTTTTTGTATTTTTGCTGCTAGCTTCATGTAGGTTTGGAGCTTTTTTTTAATTTATAATAGTTTGGTACAGCCCTTTGGATTTGAATAGAAAAATTGCTTACATAGTGTTTGTTAGCAACAACTTTTTGGAACTTTGGTGCAGCCACAAACAGTGACTGTAAGATTGAGGGAAAAGATACAGCTGCTTTAAGGAATTGTTTGTAGATACTGTATATGTGGTTATGTTTTCAGTAGTCCCATGTAGCAGCACTGCTCCATGAATATTTTGATGCTCAGTGGCCTTCTGGGTGCAATTCTGAGTTCAGGATTTCACCTATAAAACCTGCATAGCATATTTGAGGAACTGCCCATCTACTTTGGTTTCTGCTCTACCCCACCAGGTAGAGCAGGTAAAGCATGTTCTGAGTCCCTGCCATAAAACAACATAATGTTGGGGGAGCCAGAATTGCCCTTCTCTGTGGCAGCGCTTGCCTTATAAAGTAGAATTTATCGGAGATCAGCATAGTCCCAACTCTGTTATCCCTTTGTAAAATATTCTGTAACTCCCCCAGCTGTTGCATCAGATAGTTAAGTGAGCTCTGCTGGTTAATGTTGCTTAATACTGGTTTTTAAATAAGATGGATTGTGTTTATGGCCTTGAGCATAGAAGTTGTTAAATTGTCTTGTTTGCCTTGTCACTTTCACAAAATAGGTGGTCTTATCAATTGTTTAAATAAATAAATTGTAGTTTCCAAGTCGTATTCAGAGGTGGTCCCAATAATCCCCAGAGGTTATAGATGCATGATTAACATTCACTAGAACCAGATCCATAAATAGTCACATCTGACAACTCAGCTGTAACTGGGCAAACATTGTTTTTCAGCCTCCTGTTCCAGTAGTAGATAAGATGAAATATTTTAGAAAAAAAAAACTTTATCTGTATCTATATCTGTCATCCTACTCAGCTAAGGAGGTCCTCACAAGAATTAAATATAGTAGTATACTGGATAAGGTATAAACTTAGATTAAGCTTCTCAATCACCAAATATAGTTAATTTGCAAAATATCTCTATATTCAAAAGACTACTAAAAGTAATACTTGAATAGTTAGCATGATAGTCTGAGAGACGTAGCTTCTGGTTTTTTTTTCTGGTTCTCATCCTTCTATATACATAATGACAATAGAATAGAAATGGAAAGCAGGATACCAGCTGATCCCTGCCCTATTTTGCACAATAAAGAATACATTCTAATGTGTGGGGATTACATTCTAGTGCATTACTCAGATTACTCAAGGTAATATTGATGGCATTTCACCCAAAACCAATGGAAGATCTCTCAGCAGATTTGTGTTAAATAAAAAGGAAGAAAAGGTTGTCTCTGGGGATTCCATACTGGAGTGGTAAAAGACAGGCTCTCTTGTCTCCAACAATCAACCCAGCCAAGCCAACCACTGAATCAACCAAGCCAAGATAGAATGGAAAGTTTATAAGCTCTATAAACTTCCACTTCCTGCTGAGGCTTGACTTTCGGAGACCAATCCCCCACTGTAGGGAGGAGGAACCGATTAGGTGGTTCCACCCCAGGCGCCTTATGGACCCTCTGGGCTTTCAGATGGCGCTTGGTGTTATACCTGATACTCTCGTCCACAGTCTGGTGGACGCCTTGGTCGCTGCTTGGAACTCAGTGGCGTCGGAGGCTCTTAACCGGATTGCGCCTTTACAGCCTCTTTGAGGTTGCGGATCCAGGAGGGTTCCTTGGTTCACTTGAGGAACTCCGGGAGATGAAACACCAAAAGAGACGCCTAGAATGCCGCTGGAGGACCAGTAAGTCTGAGTCAGACCGAGCACTGTTGAAAACCTGCATCAGAGCTTACCTCCTGGCAATTCGGACAACAAAAAATACATACTATGCCGCTCTGATTGCTTCCGCTGAGTCACACCCAGCCGCCTTGTTCAGGATAACCCGCTCCCTCTTGAAAGGGAGAGATGCGGGCAACCCTTTACAAGGTAGAGCTGAGGAATTTGTCCAATTTCTCGCAGATAAAGTTGCTCGGCTTCGGATAGACCTGGACTCCAATTGCTCAGAGCCAGCCGAGGTACCGGGGGAGGGTCTTGAGCGGAATTTATGGATTCATTTTCAACTTGTCACACCTGAGGGAGTGGACAAGGCCATGGGAGCAGTGAGTGCCTCCACTTGCGTGCTCCTGGCTGGTTGCTAACAGCAGGGAGGTGACACGGGGGTGGATCCAGGCAATTGTTACCACCTCTCTTTGGGAGGGGACCTTTCCGCCCCTCTTAAAGGTGGCGGTGGTGAGACCCCTCCTGAAGAAGCCATATTTGGATCCAGCCATTTTAAGTAACTACCGTCCAGTCTCCAACTTCCCCTTCGTTGAGAAGGTTGTTGAGAAAGTGGTGGCCTCTCAGCTCCAGCGGTCCTTGGATGAAACCGATTATCTAGATTCCTTTCAGTCTGGATTCAGGCCTGGCTACAGCATGGAAACCACTTTGGTCGCGCTGATCGATGATCTCTGGAGAGCCAGGGACAGGGGCCATTCCTCTGTCCTAGTGCTCCTTGACCTCTCAGCGGCCTTCGATACCATCGACCATGGTATCCTTCTGCGGCGGTTGCAGGAGGTGGGAGTGGGAGGCATCGTTCTTCGGTGGTTCTCCTCCTACCTCTTGCAGTCGGTGTTGGTTTGAGGACAGAGGTCGACCCCTAGGCCCCTTAAGTGTGGGGTGCCGCAGGGTTCGGTCCTGTCCCCCCTCCTGTTTAACATCTACATGAAGCCATTGGGTGAGATCATTCGGCGGCACGGAATAAAATACCACCAATATGCAGACGATACATAGCTGTATCTATCTGCTCCGTGCCAACTCAGTGAAGTGGTTGACGCAATGTGTCAGTGTCTGGAGGATGTTAGGGTCTGGATGGGTGTGAACAAGCTTGTATTCAATCCTGACATGACTGAGTGGCTTGTGTTTTTCCCTCCCAATAATTGGCTAGGGTATGAAATTATACGCCCCTCAGACAGGGTTCGCAATTTGGGAACCCTCCTGGATCTACAGCTGACTTTAGAACACCATTTGTCAGCTGTGACCAGGGGGACATTTGGCCAGGTTCACCTGGTGCACCAATTGCGTCCCTACCTGAACCGGGAGGCACTCAGAACAGTCACTCAAGCCCTTGTGACCTCAAGACTGGACTACTGTAATGCGCTCTACATGGGGTAGCCATTGAAGAGCATTTGGAGACTTCAGCTTGTCCAGAATGCAGCCGCGCGAGCGATTGTTGGTGTACCTCGGTTTCAAGGTGCTAGTCGTTACTTTTAAAGCCCTACATGGTATCGTACCTGGGTACTTGAGAGACCGACTTCTACCAATTACCTCCCTATGACCAATTAGATCCCACAGATTAGGCCTCCTCCGGATTCCATCAACTTGCCAGTGTCGACTGTTGACCCCCGGGGGAGGGCCTTCTCTGTGGCTGCTCTGGCCCTCTGGAACGATCACCCCATGGAGATTCGGACCCTCACCACCCTGGCTGTTCCAGCAGGCCTGGGGCTGATGAGTTCCCAGCCCCACTCAAATGGTTATGGCTGTTGAGAAGTTTTTAATTTGTTTCTTTGTACTTGTTTTGTCTTCTTTGTTTTTTGTACTCCCCCTTTCCCTATTTGGTTTGTTATCGTTCCAGAGGGCCCCGAGTCCCCTTGGGGAATAGGGCGGCATACATGTTTAATAAAATAAAATCAAAATCAAATATGTGCCATCATGCTAGTTTCATCTGGAGTCTCTTTATTTCTTTTACTTAGAGATATTGAGTTAGACTGAGCATTTATAACCTCAATTTTCAGGGTTTCCAATGCTGCTTAAGTTATTTTTCTCTCTAAGATTTCCCTCCATGGAATCCTTCCCAAGATGTTCTGTTTATTGAAATCATCTGTCTTGAGATCTAAGACACTCGTTTGACTTTGTTCTATTGCTTGTGTCTCCATTATGTTGAATTCCAGTACGATATGGACATTCTCACTTAAAGTTCCTACAACTTCAACCTTCTCTATAATTTTATCTTTGTTAGTAAGGATTTAGTCCAGTATAGCTGGCCTACTAGTTCCCTACTATAGTTTTGGGTGATAAAGTTGTCTGTTGGTTTCATCAGGGACCTGTTTGATTTTTCAGTTGCTGCACAGTTTGTCTTCCACTTTATGTCAGGGTACTTAATATCCTCCATTACTAGTATAGAATACTTTTGTACTCCTTAGGTTTGCAAAAAGTTCATTTATTTCCTATTTAGTTGGGTGATTTAAATGCGTTCAAAAACATTTTCATCCTTGAAAATCCTTGTTTTACTATTTTTATTATTTCTGATTCTGCATATTATTCTTTCCAGAATGGGTGTATTAGTTTCAAATATCCTCGTCATGTTGGATTTGATCTGTAATAATAATAATAATAATAATAATAATAATTAAAAAAAATGAAAAAGTCACCGAAAATCAGATGGTCAAGATCTTGTGGGATTTCCGTATACAAACCGACAAAATACTGG